TGCAGGATTTTAGGCCTGTATTGAATATGACAGCTTCACTATATATTCCAAAACATACTAATGGTAATTTATTCATGTCATCTTTGGTGTGATCGAAGAACGTTTTGCTTGGTTGTGATCACTATTCGATTCGCATTCGATTCGGTTGTATATTACACTATTCCCACACCTCTAGCAAAAATACAGGGTGGCCAGAACAACTATATTTGTGAATATTTACAAAGCCATGCTGCGACATCTGCATATGGATACACATATTTTTGACTTTAATATACAAGGTGTTTCAGTTGACCTGCGCCGAGTGTTGTCTTTTTTGAGTTATGTAATCATAGAGATTCATACAATAAATAATATGTAGAGGTAATCTCACGCTTGTGTCTACGCGGGCCCCATCAGCGGCGCTTGTACCCCCGTAAGAATTATGGGAAGTACATACTTCGGATCCGCTTCGGATAGATTACGTTCCTGAGATTCGTGACGCTTCTTTTCCGAGTGTAAAAATATGTGATCTGAACTTACAAATAAATGAAACTTGCTTCATTTATTTGTGCGCAAACATTATTGCAAAAAGATTTTGTGACGAGGCGGCAAAAGTGAAAGCTGGGCAAATATAACCACCAGAATATGCATTGCTCTGCCATTGCATTCGAAATTCGGCATGAAGACTTAATAAAATGTTTTTTAAAACACTTGAAAACAATCAGGCTTGTTTTTCTCTGCAAAGACGCATTATCTATTTAAGGAAGTAACAGCACAGTATTAAGTGAGAAACACTTATTGTTTCGTCTTTTTCGATGGTAGGTGCGTCTGTCCAAGCAGTCTGCCTCCAACGCACCTCTAATTTGTTGTGAAGTCGAGTCAGCAGAGCATGACGGTGCGTCTAGCTATCTTTGTCATCGTTTTTCAGTCGATTTAAAACGAGTTTAGGCAAGACGCACTCATAAAAATATCATGAACTCGATGAAGTACCCTGAACTGACATGCGCCGCTACATCTGTATGCGTGGATGTGAGTGGACGACACTTCGTTTAAAATGTCAAATACGACACATACAAGTTCAATGTCGCAGTAAACTTCAGACCTACTGTTCTTCGGCCTCTTTGAACAACAAAGGCGCTGCTTCAGTGCTTTCCAATGCACCCCGCTACCCACGCTGCGCGAAGAACGAAACTACAACTGTAGAAAAATTCTATAGGCAGTTCACTAGCTAACCCTATCGAATCCGAAGTCTGTAATTTCTATAATTCCTACGGAGGTACACGATTACAGCACCAGATTCCTCTCTAGGTATTACTGCATGAAACTCTATGACTGTAATAAACCTAGAAAAAGCTTAACAGGACCGTCACGTTGGCGTAGATGAAGTTATCAAACGTTGCGTAAAAAGCACTGTGGCTTTCTGCCGAAGATGTTTCGTTACAATTTATAGTTTGAAATTTAATTAGAAAAGGTTGTTAATAACCCCACTTGGTGAATTGGCAGTTATCTTAGCACAGGTGAAATGTAAAAATGTTCGTGACACATGTGCTACGACTTCTTTCTTCAGCTCTTTCGCTACACATACTTATTAACATTTTAATTAGGCAGGCGCCTTCAAAGATTCGCCTTGTTGGATTGGACAAAAACATGCCTCGCTGCATTCGGCGAAGAACATCACTAGTCCGATTCAACAGGCCTAGCGTACGCAGTTGTTTTTAACGCTTGTCGCAAGTTAGCGAAAACACCCTGTATGGCTTCCGCTGGGGTTTCGAAGTGTTACGAGTGAAATTAGTTTCCAGGGAAACTTCATTCTCGGGAGACGATCCTTTCTTATTGGATGAACGGACACTTGCTTTATTATATTCTATATCATGTTTTTCACATAGTTCCTAGTTCAACACTACAAACTGGAGCGACGGGTGTACCCTCCACCCCATCCGAAACTAACCAAAGACGAAAGCGTGATCTTCAGACGCCTGCAAAGCAACACGTGCACACATGGAATAATAATACACCACCACTACTCAACGTCACATGAATACATATGCCTGCTCTGCAGCGTACCGGACACCCTGGCACACTTGCTCTTGGAATGTCAGTGCAGTGCGAACCACAACATGCAACTGGAGCGGGACCAAGCACCAAGAATGAACGACGACCACCAAATGGAAACGTGGGAGGCCAAGCTTGTCTTCGAGAACCTGAAAGACCAGCGACAACTCGTCGCCAGGGCCAAGAGGGCAGTGGAAGCCAGAAAGTTCCTGGTCTAGGGAACCCTCCCACCTTAGGGTGATGCCGGGCATAGCTCGACACACTGCCTCGAAACATGCGTTCATTTCTTGCTCTGTCTTTCTACCCGAAACTCCAAGTACGATCCCTGCCATGGCAGTAGCATTTTCTTTTTTCAGGAAAGACGCTAGTTGCCTGTCCATTATGCGGTGTCAGTGCACAAGATGAGGTGGCGTGAAGATTAGGAGTCGCCACTAATTAGGAATTATTTTTGTGGTGTTCAACATCCCAAAAGCCGTCTACAACGAGGTGACTCATAAATATAATATTGTTTTAGGACGTAAAATACTAGCAATAAATAATATTAATACGACGACATACCTCATAATTGTGTCGTGGTTTCGGCGCTTAAAAGTCCAGATAGTACTTTGTGTTGCATTGTTCAGCTCCAGCAGCAGGTCTCTTAAAGGCTACTTGACACATACGTACTCTTACTACACATGTCAAACGAATCAATATGAGTTCTTTATTCTCCATTTAATCATGTCCCTTTACATATGATGCCTTTCAAATCTATCGATGCGTACTATCGCCGTTCATTTTTTGACACGAAAAAGTTTATAGCCGGGGCACACCAAGGCTTCAGTGCCGTGTATTTCGTCATGGAAGTAACGTTAAAAAATGCACATGACCAGATGGCAACAAAAAACTTCAGAAATTCCGTCAGTGGGAGCCTGACCCACAAACTCTAGGTCCGCCGTCGAAAAGGATGGGCTCGCTATCCACTTTTCCATGGTCGAACACGTGTCTTATAATATCGCACACTTTCATCTTGCAGTGCTTTGGTCGGTGGGCTGCATGTATGTATGTATGTATGTATGTATGTATGTATGTATGTATGTATGTATGTATGTATGTATGTATGTATGTATGTATGTATGTGTGTACGTGCGTACGTGCGTACGTATGTATGTATGTATGTATGTATGTATGTATGTATGTGTCTTATCACCGCCTACCTATTTCCAACAGTGGGCTGTATTCCCTCCGCCATGCGTCATAGGAACGTCAGCGACAACCCAGTGACATTGTAGTCACATTAAAACCATATTGATTCCGTTACCTGTTGCCGCTTCACTGACTCCCAAGCATTAACATTTCAGAAGGCATCTCTGTTCGTCACGGCCACAGCTCGCTACCCGCCTAAGCGTTCTCGGTGTTACTGTCACAGCCCTACATAGCCACCCGCTTCGCCAAAGGAACGCCGATCGGTGGCTCGCCTTCGCTACTATTGAGCGTCCATCGATCACTCATTCGCATGCGGGTGCCCCCACATTATCCGCATGTATACTGCTCGCTGGGTAACGACCTTGTTAATTCCCATTGGCTACATTCCATTTCCGCCTTCTCGTGGCTTATATTGCTTTGCTCGCTCCCTGCACCACTCGCTTGTCTTTTCCCGAGTGTGTTCGAAGCGCCCTTTAATGCCGTCCAGCCAACCGCATACACAAACTGACTCGCGCAGCGAGCCAACGCGCCAGGTATATAATAGCTGTTAACGAGGCGGGCGCAGATAAGAACACGACTCTTACTTTCTTGCTCAACTAGCAACCTTCCGACGCGAGGGTTTGTACCCTCCTCTTTACCTTCCTCCTTCTCTGTTCTTCGAGGTTTGCACCATGTAGCATTGGTTGCATTCCTCAATGTGCGACGCGCTAGGATACACATAAAAAAGAAACCCCAGGAATATAAGAAAGAAAGGAAATCCGATCGTCCCTTCTGTGACGGCCAGTCGGATTTTACGTGCGCACTTCCTTATACCACACTCGAGACGGGGCACCCCCTTCCCTTTCGAAAGCGTCTGGTGCGTCGTTAGACTACGCCCCAGAGCCTGCCTACACCCCCCCCCCCCCTCCTCCCATTCATCGAGCGCGGGAAGCGTCGGTGTCCAAGAAAGATGTAAATGAAAAGAGAGCTGTCCAGAAAAAGCATCAGCGCTATGTGAGAGTGGCAAACAGAAGTCGTAATAGGCGGTTACGTGCGACGCTAGCGTTGGTAAGCATAGCCAGCTCTCTTGCGGGGAAGTACGCTTACTGCGGGGCATGGGTGAGAGAGAGAAAAAGGGAAGGGGGAGAGGCAAGGTCGAATAAGTGGGGTGAATGCGGTTCGTTCAATGCACGATTGCTGATGACCGCAGGGGGAAAACACCGCCGAGGAGACGTGAGAATGCTCAAACCGGTATTTTTTGAATAAGCCACTGGAATAGCCAGCTCCATAGAAGGAAGGGAAAGTGACGTACAGTGAAGGAAGGGAGGCATTCTGTGACGGTCAGTTTACTCGCGGAGGTGGAGAGGAGTTCCGCCAGGTCCTTGGAGAGAGTAGCAAACAAATGTATGAAATAAAAATAAAAAAATCACACTCATACAGTTCTCACATAGCATTAAAGGGCGCAGTCATAGAGAAAGCGTCTCTAAGGCCTACGGAACGCACGGGCTCCGTTTATTTAATGCTTATTATTATTATCTATTTATTTATATTGTAAGACGACATCACTGACACCGCCTTCCTTTCACACGGTGGTATTGCTTAACACCGCAATTTGAAAGAAAGAAAAAGAAAGAAGGAAGGGAAGAAAAAAGAAAGGGAGAAAGAATGAAAGAAAGAAAGGGAGAAAGAAAAGAGAAAGAAATACCAGAAATTTAATAGCGGGAAGGAGCAGGTGACTGAGAGAAGGAGACGATGCCGGCGTCATGCGGTGAAAACCCTCGCTTCGGGCAAGCCGGCAGCGAAGCCCGCCGCGATGGTGCGAATTGCTACAGCACAGTCGTAGGGGCCGCAAGCCGCCCTACGGTGGCCCCGTTGCGCAGTGCCTCGTCGTCTTGACAAGGTGTACGTGCGCGGCTCTCCGTCGCTCACCGGACAGCGAAGACGTCGGTGTTGTGCAGTGTCTCTACGAGAAGGGCATTGTTCACGCCGCAGTTTGTTATGTGAGTGTGTTTGTGGGGCCGCGCGTTGGGCACGAGGCACTTTTGGATCGGGGACGTCGACGAAGCCCTCCTTGGTGGCCACTGCAGTGTTGGAACAAACGCCACGTGCGCAGGAGTTGTTTTGCCGCGCAAGTTAGATGTGTGTGACGGTTAAGCTGGCGCCGTCGAGATGTAGCCGACGACTGCGTCCTTCCAGTATGCTACGACCTTCGGTGTTTTGCCGCATGGTGAGTTTCAGGTGGTGTCTGCCTAGTCAACTTCATTGAAAGCTGAAAGATGAGGCCATTTGGAAAGTTATGTGTTGTATGGTTTATGTTTGCGCACTTCGTTTGTTTTTTTCGGCGATTGATGGATGTCTTTATACAAAACGGTTCATTAGTGTGGAGTTTACTGACATTTATTTGAACATAACGTCCTGCTTTGGTGAAAAACTACATCGCATTACAAGGCACCTTAATTAAGTGAACGTGTCCGATCAGCAGCAGCTTTATCGATCTAGCGCATTTCGAAGGTCTGACCTTCATCTGCATTTTAATCAAACACGCTGCTTGATTAAACCCATTACATTTCGGATTGACAAACAACCGGTTTATTCTCCAAATGTTATGTGCATTATCACCATTATCACTGCTGCTTCATACAGTAGAGGTCACCATTAGTTATTTAGGGCCATTGTCACTTTTCAATTCACTGTTTGTTGGCTCTCAGCGAGCAGAACCTTGGTGATTTCTGAACAAGGTTTTAAATGGTAGCACGTAGTTTTGTGAAAATGCCCTGGAAAGATTATGCATTATGAGTGTAATGTCCACTTATGGCTGTCCGCCATGGCAATAAAGTGATTATGGAGCGCGAATACCGGCCATGACGCATGCATTTTCAATAGAAGCAGAAATATTTGAGGCCCATGTACTTCGATTAAGGGCCATGTCAAAGAACCCCAAGTGTAATAAATTTCCGGAGCCCTCCACTTGGCGTCCCTCGTATTCATGTCGTGGTTTTGGAACGTACAACACTAACCAATATTATATTAGCATAAATTTAAAACTGGTACTTAGTAATCAAGCTACATTTTATGAACACAAAGAAGTTGGTGTCACCTTTAGAGTATTTTTTTTTTACTCACCGACACAACCCTGAATTATCTTCGTTTTTCACCTCATTTGGCGGGTAGTTTTCATAACAAAATCGGGCAGTAATTTCTTTTTAAGCTCGGTGTGTACATCCGTCGGTGTGTACATCCATCGCAGATAAAAAGACAGGGTAACACAGACAAAATAAGGCAGACATAGAAGAACACAGGTTTTCGCCGGTGTGTGTTCATTTGTGCAAGTTGTTTGGTCCAGAAATTAGCAATGTTCCGAAACTGTCCCATTGGGTAATTTCGGTAAACTACGTTACGTAAAATACATGAAGGGAACATGGTCATTGCAAAAGCGTCTCCATACGGATTTGAAAATGAACGGCTATTGATTTCATTCCGAAGCTTGAATATCTTGCGTTTAGTTAGGTAGCATGATGCTGCTTCGATAAAAGAAGGCCTGACTGCGGTAATTACTTACATTATAGGCTGATTATAGCCTGATCTTGATTACGTGGCTCACTTACGTATATTTATTGCGCTCGTATGCTGGTGTTTCACCAGAAGGTAGCCCCCCAAGTGCTGCTAAATATTTAGCGAATACCAAAATTAGCCGAAGCTTGTTAAGGACAAATTGCAGGGTTTTTCTCTACTTGTAGTGTTTCTGCGTACTGTCACGCTCAACATGAAATGAAACACTGGAGTGCGTGGCATCACATATTTAAAAATTTCGCATGGCTTCACCTCACCCTAATTTCTTCAAATGAGCTACATTTTAGCATTTGAGAACATTGCCAAATGGGAGAACAACAATTAGCTGTGGGAGTGAGGGCACGATAAAGCCATGTGCAATCTTTTAAGAAGTGAGGCGACTCACCCCTGTATCAAGTAACACTCAAGGCAACTGTGCATGACATTTATTATGACGAAAGCACATCACTGACTTTATCATCGTTTCGCTGTTTAACAGCACGCCTAAGGGGAGCCGCATTGTTTTCACCCGCTATCTTTTCTGTGCTATCTTTAATACATGTATAGCCTAATTGTAGCTATATTCCCGTCATGAGGACCTACAGTCCGGGTATCTAACACCCCTTGGAACAGCACGCAGATTAAAGCCGCTAGTGACATCACACTAATGAGACTACACTAAAAAACTTTACGTCAGTGCAAACACGCAGATAAAGAAAAATAGATATGCACGTTGAAATTGCCCTGAGATATGAATATAGAGTCTAGACCTCTACAGCAGCAAAGCTCGATGCGGGAACTACCACGCCTCAGGAGAACATTTACACCCGTGCGTGCGAGGACATTAACCCTCTTCGTGCGTTTTTGCAATGCTTACAGTGTTGTCGGGTCGCTATGCAAGTCAATGTGTATCCGCATAAGCAGTGCAAGGAACTTTTATTTAAAGGCAGTGGTACACCCGTTGACTGTAAAAAATGTTGATAAACTTTTGTGGCTCTATATTTTTACTTCATTGGGCTAATCTCTGCGAAATATTGGCAACATTGAAGTTGCGCTCTATCTTCGTGAGGTTTCTTAATAGCGTAGATGTTAAAGCTGTAGGTGAAAGGGAAGTTGACAAAAATATGAGTATGTGCCAAAATTAGGTGCATTACGCTACTTTTCACTCATGCTCTCATAATGGAGGAGCCCCTACACCTACGGCGAAGCGAAGGTGATGTGGCCGAAGACCTTGTGTATATGTAGAGTAAGGCAATGCTAGGGAAAGAGAAAGGCAATGGCAGCTCCGAGGAGACTCCGAAGTGATCGACGCCCTACGCGAACTATGACGATCCCGTATATCTACGAGAAGAGTGAATGCTCGGTTTCAGCGCGAGTTTCTATGACTGGAGTTAAGATGTCCGTGTGCTGTCTGTCGCTGTCTATGCTTTAACTCTATCCTAGCTGAACCGAACATCAACCTGGAAGCTTCGCGTGAAAACGGCAAAAAAATATCGAGGACCACAGAAAGAATGCCACAGACGGCAGCGTTGACCTACGACAATCTTTGTTCCTTACGACCACGCAATATGTACTTGCGCAATATAATAAAATAAAAAAATAATAAAAATAGTGAAAAACAGCCATAGACATTTATCATGATAGCGTGCCACGAATCTTATTAAAAAAGGGGCCAGCAGGTGCGAAGTAGATGTGGTGTTTCTTTCCCCAGAGAGGCTGGCTCGTTTGTGTAAGGCTGTAGATCTTGGTTCCCACAAAGATTGAGCATGCCAGGCTAAACATTGCGATAAGTTCGTCCCCTGCGTTGAAGGGGTGGTGCACAGTCATGGGCACATTGAACTCGAATGATCTTACGCGTTGCCTTGGCTCGCTTGGACTGAGCTCAGCACCACCAAGCGTTGAAAATATCATTTTAGCATTTCACGATAGATGGAGCGCCCGTCGCTTTTGGTAGTAACTTTATGTTTCCACTGTGCTTGACCGGTGGGTCGAATGCACTCAATTGGTATCCTGTTTTTGCCACATTCCGTTCGTGGCTAAGTTATAGCGCGCTCATCGCGTTTATTGTCCTATACTTATCTCGACAATGAACCAATGTGTGCAACAGCTTACGCGTCTTTCGAGTTTGAATTCGCAGCTGCTGGTCAAAAAAAAAAAATCTCATGTGTGAAAATTAGAGCAAGCGCACCTTCATGGCGATTGTAAAAATTTCGCAAGAAATAAATGTGAGATGCGTTGGCGTTGTTTTCGGATTTATTAAATTTTCGACAGCGTGAATTGCCTAGCAACATCCTTTAGAAACAACCGTATTACACTTCAAAATTGCCCAGTTTCACTGCGCGACTCAGTGTAAATTGTGCAATTTTTTTCTGCTAATGCACCGTATGTTGTGCGTTTTCCACTAATCAATCAGTTATAAAAAGAGCGGACTCTTGCCTAGGTACATCCAAAGAAAGCAGAACAGTGAAAATCACCTCGTATATTCACTGATAGAGCAACCTCCATTTACATGCAGTTCCTTGGTGTAATCGCTATAGTAAATCGCTTCCAGAAACTTCAATTAGCATCCCCGATTTCCTAAAAACCCGGGGTCCCCAAGTGAACGAACGCTCACTCTTTGCTGAGAATTTCGCGTATCGTTAAGTGTTTTTATCATTCGCCTCACAATATGCGATCACTCAAGTAAACGCTTTGAAACGGCGGGTTCGTCCTTCAAAGCCGCTGGAGAAGCATTTTCAATCACCGAGGAGCGCATTGCACAATAACCAATAAGCATAGAAGTGCAACAAATGTACACATATCTTTACGATTGGGCTAGGAAAACATTTCTTTGCGACGAGGAGTGCTCCAGGGACAGCCAGAACACATTTGTGATTTTTTTTGTTTGTCCGGATTCGAGTAATTGCCCATAAACTTTCCTAGGCAATTACTTTCTTAAAGTGTCGGCTCTGTTTTCGTCAAAGGTGAGGGCATTTCAATCACGCTGTTACAGAATTTGCCACTCCAGTGTATGTGAAAGAACTTACATTTTCTTAGTAACGGCAAATGGTGATGCAATTCAACTATGAGTTATGTTTTGAAGTTTCGTAAGCAAATGTAAGCAATTTCGAAACACATAATCAGGATTCGAATTTTGTTTATATCAGCCTTGTTTAATAACTAAAGTAAGAGGTTCGACAGATCCCATGTACCTAGATAATCGACGTTATGTATATGCGTTCGCAGGAAAGCTGACCGTGTCGTGATTTTTGTTCGCTTGAACGAAAAATAACGACATGACGCTAAAAATACATACAGTATCTCTACGCCATAAGATGAACTGTCGTGTATGTTTTGTATCACCAGTTCTTTACAGATGTGTAACGTTGACAACAGCAGCATGGGTAATTCTAACACTAGAGCCATAAGTGTATATATCGACATGTCCTCACTCGTAGGCTGCCATGGTTGACGGATTGATATGTGGAGTTTAACGCCCCAAAACCACAATATGATTATGAGAGACGCCGTAGTGGAGGGGTCCGGAAACTTCAACCACCTTGGGTTCTTTAACATGCACTTAACTTTGAGCACACAGGCCTACAGGATTTTCACCTCCACCGAAATTACAGCCGCTTAGGGCCGGAATTCAATCCCATGACCTATGACACTGCTACAAAAATGAATTTCAGTAGATGA